GTTGCAACTGCAATTTACGAGTTTATCTGCGAGTTAGCTACGGTGCAAACAAGCCTTGTCAGGGGAACCTGTGAAGCACACGTAAAGCTCCTACTACTGGGCAAATATTGACAAAAAGCCTATCTTGATTACAAATGAAAGTCAACAAGTTACAGGAGGACAACAAAAGAGTGACACTTCGCGAGCCAGTTACTCGTACTACACCCCCTCCCCCTTCTTCGCTCCGGGTTTCCCAGTCTCTGGGACAATTGGCCACTGCAGTCCAATCAACTAAATGTTTGCAAATAATATCCCAGTTTACCGCAGGGGACATTGCACGCACCAACCTACAAAATTAATTTTATTTAAGTAATTACTTCTACTCAAATTGAAATCCCATTTTGTATCTTCCCTTCGAAAATAGCACTCAAATAAAGTTGTAACTACCACGTATTATAGTAGTAATAACAGTAACATAATTACTACTACCACCAGTACCACCGCCACAATCGTTATTATTATTATTATTATGGGGGCACGCAGTACCGTAGTTCGTTGAGGCACTATGCTACAAGAAGGAATGTCGCGGGTTCGAGTCCCGATTAGCTCATTGAATTTTTCAGTTGACCTAATCCTTCCAGCCGGACGATGGCCCTGGGGTCGACTCAGCCTCTAACAGAAATGAGTATCAGGAATCTTCCTGGGGGTAAAGGGCGGACGGAGCGTAAGGCTGAAAACCTCACAACTATGTGAGCCGACTGTCTAGAAAATGTGGGAGCCTCGACGTCTCACAAACCTATGGACCTCCACGGCCTGTTACAGAGATAGCTTTCCCTTTATGTACATATATACATATATATATTATTGGACTTATTCTCCCAAACGGAATTCCACTTGGCCAGTTGTTTCTATTCAATATCATCACGTCATATCGAGCCTCTTCATAACAGAAATTAATGGTCTGTAGGCCATTTAATTGCTGTTGGTCGAGTGATTAAACTTCCTGGCTACAGATCCAGAGACCCGGATTCGATACCCGGCGCTACTAGATTTTCTGAGAAGTAGTGGGTCTGGAACGGGTCCACTCAGCCTCGTGGGCATAAATGGGGAGCTATTAGCGGCTCCGGTCTAGAAACCCGAAATTAAGGGCCGTGGGGATTTCTTTATTGTAGAAAAATATTGTAAATACAAAACAGGCCTAGGAAATGCCTATCCGGCCTTCTGTAGCACGTTCTTATAAACATCTTATTCTGTAATAGCGGTAACCCCACTGTAATTAAGAGAGCCCAACACTATCAAGTATGGTTCCCGTGGGAAAGGATTAGCATGATTTTATGGGTAAAATACTCCGTGGTTTTAGTCCGCAAGCGAATACTACTGACCACGCGACACCCTCTATCCGCTAAAGTTGACATTAACTTCGCCGATAAGTGGCCGTCGCTCGGTCGGTATATTTCGCTTGAGGATTAAAACCACGGAGTTTTTACCCCTAAAAACGACCTAATTCTTTCCCACGGGAACCATACTTAATAGTGTTGGGGTCTCTTAATTACAGCATCAAATTTGTAACTCAGCCAATAGAAGCGGGAATGCATTTAATATTAAAGAGCTGAAATTCCTCTTATAAGAAAACTTTAGTTCGCACCTCACAGGAAACATCACGTCTCTGCTACAAAGCTCAAGCGGTTACTGCTGTTTAGGGAAACAGTCGCTGTTTACTGTGAGAACCATAGGAAACAGATAAATACACTGTGTTGGCCGAAGGCAGTTTAGTATGTTAAGGCAGCGGTATATACTCGTATAGTAACCATTGGGCTTTAAAGGGTTAAACTATAGGATGGACTAGTCCAGAAGCACAGAGCATGAAGCCATTACGAACTGTGAGCTAATGTCTACAGAGATACTTCACTGACAACTTGAATCACCGATGTGAAGTTAGCAACACTTAGCACCGGCACTTCACACTGTGCCGACTGAGCCAACAATTCTGGCAGGACATTTTATTTAGGCCTGTTTATTTACGATGCTGCATGGGGTCCAGTGTGTTTGGTAAATAATTACATGGAAAGGATATGGAAGGAGGTGGGCGTGTCCTAACTGAGGTCCTAATCTCATATTTGCCAAGAACCAATAATAAGAAAAGCTGTCCCTGTAACGGGCCGTGGAGGCCATAGGGTTGTGAGACGTCAGGCTCTCACATTTTCTCTAGACAATCCGCTCACAGATGGCGGTGAGGTTGTCAGCCTTACGCACCGGCAGCCCCCCCCCCGCCCCAAAGACGATTCCTTAATCCCTACGCTAAAAGGAAACGTGAAAGGTAAAGCTGTTCCTGTGCTTAACTAATTAAGCACAACGCCATGAAGACGTATGGGGGAGTGGATATACAGACCCATGTTTTCTTGGCCTCGGCACTAGTTGGAGGTAAGTGGTCAGCTTCACGTCCCAGCCGCTTTATCTCCAGGGAAACAGCCCCCGGTACCAATTCGATAGGAGGCTGCATGTGATAACTAGTGAGTATAAACGAACAATCACTTCAGCCGTCAGGTTATACCATGAAACTATGCGGATACGTTCAAAACTCCACGAGACTGTCTCCAGTTCACTAGTTCCAGGCATGAAATAGACCTACAGATTTCGCAGGAATGACGTTGCTTTTAACATATTCTACAGTAAAACTGACCTGACATCAATTTGAGCATTTTGGAATAACGGGCTCTCCAATATAACAAAATCGGACTTGATGTACTGACCTCACACCTCGGCGGCATGACAAAATAACTAATTTCGGTTTACAATTGGTGTAGATCTTAAAGTGTGGCTCACAGTTACAACATTTCTGTAGAAAGTGTTTTTTAAATATTTCTATAATACGAGTACAAGTGTAAATGTACATGACGTTAGATCTTGTGCATAGCACCTTTACAATGTTACACTTGCAGACAAGAACATAACGCAAAAGGCAGTAGACACGACTTGAACCTAACGAACTATGCTCTAAATATAAAAGCTTTTAAGAAATACTTTCTATAAAACTTTAACGTTTAATTAACTGTGAATAACACTTTATGATCCTCAGCGAGACTAAAACTGATTCTCTTCTATTGTCATGCCTCATGATGGTGACAAAGGTCCGAAACTTGTAGGCCTGTGTATCTAATTTCATGTGTTCCATTAAACCTTTAAAGACTGAAGAGAGAAAGACTGAATTTCTTCTGAATGATATATAAGAATTCAGTCCGTACCTCACAGGAAACATTACGTCTCCGCTACAGAACCCAACCGGTTACTGCTGTTTAGGGAAACAGTCGCTGTTTATTGTGAGAACCGTACGGAACACACAGATACACTCTGTGGGAAGAATGCAGGGTTGTAATGTGTTAAAACAGTGGTAAATATAGTAACCACTGGACTTTAAAGGGTTAAGTTTGTTACGCTGGATGGCTCATTGTTCAAGTAATTACTGAAAATATTACAGTGAATGTGTCACATCCTAAAACAAAGTTACACACTTTCAGAATATGTATTATCACACTAAGTAGCAGGTAGGTTTCTCGTCACAAGTTCGCCTACAAATTGTGGAAAGCAGGCTAATAACAGTTTCTCAGTAGTGATATATAACGTTTCCTGATAACCCCCAAGATCTTCCTGTGATGTTACAGTAGAATGCCTAGTCAAAATAACGTCACAGTGTTTTGCATCAGAGACCACGTGGGGAAGGTAGGCCTAGAGCATTTACACAGAGTGTCAGTGGCGGCTGGGTGTGCTGTAACCGTGTTGCACCTAAACGTAACGGCAAGGAGCACAAGCAACTGAATCTAGTCCACACACACACATCTTTAATATCCATTTTAATATTATCTTTCAATGAGCAATTGTCTCTTTCCATCAGGTTTTCTGACTACATTTTCTAGGCAAATCTACAAATAAACTGCTTATTATGTATTTGTTATATGTTCTGTCGCCACAATTCGTGTACAAATTGAATAAATTCGTACTGTTTTTAGTTTGCGACATGTTTCGGCCATTCATGGCCATCATCAGGTGAACCAGTTTACACTGACCCTCAGCTGTCTTGCTGTCATTCCCCTACATTGGTCAATGTTCACAGTTGTTACCGGAAAGATCATAGGCGTTATTTATAAACGTATTCAACTTATACAGGACTGCGTTAGCGGAGCCTATCATAAATATCTCACAAATAATATGAAGATGACATACGATATTGCTCCTAATTATGTAATTTTCGACATTCTTTGTTACTGCCTCTGTCCCTAGGTCTGATATCCAAGCTGCATAATGAGCAAGTTTCGTGTTCCCGAAGACAAGGTTACACACACTTCTGGCTGAGTAGCAGTTGGCATTAGACAAAAAGGCGTGGGTGTAATGTTCTCGTATTCGTGTCTTGAACAGCCCAGATTGTACTGACAATTTAAAAACATGCCTATCTAATTCTGAGGTGCAAATATAGTCCCAACAAGCCTATCAATCACCAGCCTCCAATAAAAATGTTGATCCGAACCTCCTATTGTAATTTGCGTAGTTTACTGTGAGAAACCCGAAAAATGCAATTGGACATGTTGGATGAAACAAATGAGGAACCAGACTCCATTCAAATTATCGCTGACAACAAGCACAAAGCGAGGAGACGGCTTAGAGATAGTGTCATTACACGTTACAACACAAGGTCACATGCTGCCCGTGAAAGAACGCTTAACGCTCTGAGAAATGGTAATACTCATGGGGGAATTTCGTACAACACAATCGAAATAACCTTGGTTCGTGTGTGGATTCTTTACCTCTGTACTGCCGTAGTTGAAGGGGTAACACCATACCTGAACCGTCATGCACTTACGAGTAGGTGTTTCTCGGTGATTAGACAGTAACATAACGTTGCAGACTGACTCCACCTCAACACGCGTGCTTTCTAAGCGAACATCAGTAATGGAAATACTGCCGTAGGACAAGCTATTAGTAACAGCTACAGTCAAATAGGCCGTGGTTACACACGTGATGAGACTTACATCCAGTTGGCCGTGACTGCGCGCTGGTGCAGTAGGATCAGTGTTGTTATGAAGGAGAACACCTCGACATGATGCCTTAGCCACATGGTGCTGGAAACACCTTCACACCACACCACACACGCGATACAATATTTTGAAGGGATTTATTTAACTTCACGTGAAGGCCCCTCCATCGTCTGCAGCATCGCTCGCTGCCGGCATCGCGCAAGGTACCAACACAAAGCAACAGACGCGATTACAACCACCAGCTTCTGTTGTGTGCGGCTGGTCTACACACCACAACCGTCGGAAGCAACAAACGGGGACACCAAGCAAACCGCTCGCTCATGCCCTCAAGAGTATCCGTGGAGTCGAGTCCGGCGCACTGATTGGCTGCGCTCCCATACCCCGCAACAGCGCAAGGCATGCCCATTGGTCTCGAGCGGAGAGTCTAGGAAGAAATGTAGAGGGGCGGGAAGGGCCGGGCGAGAAAGATTCTCTTTTTCTCTTTTAATTGAGAGAGAAAGAGAGAGAAAATTATTCCCCATGCTATTATGTCAGTGAGTTGTGATATTGTTCATTTAGGGGGCTTTGGGAGCACTAGTTCATCTGGAGCAGTCTCGGAATGCGTGAATCCCTCCACCAGAGCGCGAACCTGCTTAAACATGCAACTGCGTGCAGAAAAATTGTTACAAGCGCTGGACGTGTAGGGACACACTGTCATGGCCTGTCATCTCGGTTCGCCATGCCATGGCATTATCTTCTTGCAGTAGAGACACAAGTTCGAAGCCGAGACACTTCATGTATAAGTTATGGACAAAGCGGCACTGAAGCAGGTTAATGTAGGGGCCCATTCAACTTGCCGGCGTCTCTTTTCATGCAATAGTCCTCGTTATCACGTTCTCGCTCTTTCGGCTGACAACTTCATCTCTGACTCAGTACTTCACTGGTTACAGTGTGGAGGTGCTTCTATTTATTTGGTCACTTTAATAATTATCTCTGCCAGTTCGGTGACTTCTGACGCACCTTCCGTTTTGCCTTCGTACTTGTACGTTTACCTAGGTAGCGCAGTTGGTTGAGGCACTATTATACAAGCAGCAAGGTCGCGGGTTCGATTCCACGTGATGTGGCTTTTTTTTTTAATTGACCTAATCCTCCCAGCCGCACTATGGTCCTGCGGTCGACTCAGCCTCTAACAGAAATGAGTACCAGGAATTTTCCCTGGGAGTAAAGGGCGGCCGGCGCGTAAGGCTGACAACTTTGCCGCCATCTGTGAGCCGATTGTGTAGAAAATGTGAGAGCCTCGACGTCTCACAAGCCTATGGGCCTCCACGGCCTGTCACAGGATAGCTTTACCTTTTTTACCATGAAGATATATGGGGGCGTGGAGATGTAGGTTCATCATTATTGACCTCAACACTAGAGGGAGGTGAATGGTCAGCTTCATGCCCCGGCTGCTTTACCTCTTAAGAAAGAACCCCCAGTTCCCACTGGATATGAGGTTGGATGGGCCCCAGGGCCGGTCTGGATGACGTGGAGGGGAGGAAGATCTCTTGTCCCTGGCGGGAACCGAAGCCCAGTCCGTCACAATATCGACTGAGCCATCCCGACCCCTTTCGTCCGGAAAGTGGTACTATGAACTTGCTACTCGAATGACCTAAATGTCCTAAATTACATTCTTCTTTGGTGTACACAGAGCGAGATTCAAACCCGCAACCACGCGGGGACGAGCCGAATTCCTCTGCGAAAAAAACTGTCCCTGTTCCTAAGCACCACGCCGTGAAGAAGCATGGGGGATGTATTCTTAACCCTGACAATTGGTCACGCTGAGTGACCCCTCGTTTCCACTTGACAGGAAGTGGGTGGGCCCCAGAACTGGTCCAAAACTGAAAGACCCACCTGGAATTTGTTCCATTATCACGTCCCACTTCGTCCGCTTTGCGGCACCGGTTTTGAAAACAACACAAATTAGGTTTGTTGTTGCAGAGGTAACGCTCTTAGACTTGTGTTTTGAACGTGCTTGGTTCGAATTTCAGGCGAAACGCCAACTTTTCCCTCTAAGGAGTGTTGTGGTTTTCGTTCGCATAAATGCAGGGACACTGACCAGATCAGGCTTCAGCCTTTTCCTTCCAAATCCTTTCCAGTTCACCATTCACATATCACCCTAGCACTCGACGCTGTACTAGCGTAACCTGACGCCTGGCAACTTCACCGCATAAGCCGCAAAATAAAATCAACTCAACTGAAAATAATTTTGGGATTGTTATGTAATTGCGAGAATACGTGTAATTACTTAAATCGGGGGACGAGAAGAGGGAAGAGGCCGTGGCTGACTTCAAGTTACACTGTCAGAACTTGACCTGAATGGTTACAGACTGCCACGAAATAACCCAGCTCAGGCCAGGCTCAGGTGCGTTGCTGCAAAGCTTCGGTACGCTCAGTGAGATTCTGTGCGGCCACGACCACTTCCCTTGCAACTCCTTCCACGTAGTTCACTGAATAACAGTTCATGCCCCAGACAGCGCGGACGGCCACTGTGATCAGCAAAATTAATCATAGGCACTTCAAATTAATGAGAAATATCTGAACGAATGAGCCGGGATAGCTCAGTCAGTATAGCGACGGCGTACGGGCTGGACGACCGAGGGGTCGAAGTTCGAGTCCCAGTGGGGTCAGAATTTTCTCTTCTCCATATCGTCCAGACCGGTTCTGAGGTCCACCGAGCCTCCTATCCAATGGTTATCGGGGGTTCCCTCCCCAGGGGGAAAACCGGCCGGGAGGTGAAGGTGACCACTCCCATCCAACTCTTGCCGAGGTCAAGAACAAGTGGATCTATATATCCACCCTCCACACATCTTCATGGCGTAGTGCTTAATTAGTTGAGCATAGGGGCAAATTTACCTTTACATTTTTTCCTTATGTGTGAACGCAACAGTGGCTTATGGCTCAGATGTTCTCCATCTTGTGCGGGAACGTCTTCACTTAGTAACACAGGTGGTCGTGTTATCAGCGGGAAGTTCAACACACTTCCGGTATTCATATGCCGGCGAGAAGTCCCAATATGCACAGGGCATTCTTTCCGTAAGGTTGCTCACACAGGGTGTTGTGCCGGTTCAATCCATATGAAATTTAATTCAGATTCTAACATTAATCCCAGCCACACATCAGGTCGCATTATCCGCAGGTTATCTCAAGGTAGTGAAAGTAAAGTAAGCACTACGCCATGAAGGCGTATGGGGAGTGGAAGTATAGATCCACATTTTCTTCACCTCGGCACTAGTTGCAGGTGAGTGGTCAGTTTCACGCCCCGGTCGCTTTGCTCCCGGCACCCATTGGATAGGAGGTTGGGTGGACCCCAGAGCCAGTCTGGACGATTTGGAGAAGAGAAGTCGTCGAGCCTGCAGCCAGTCGCAATACCGACTGAGCTATCCCGGCACCTTGAGACATGTAGCAGATTCAGGAAGGTTTCCGTGCTGTTTGTGGCAAACTGAAGGCTTTAAACACACGTTAAGAACGGCGGAACACTTAGTTCTAAACGTCTGGTGTGTCATAAATTAAAACAAAAGTCTTCCGAAATTCCAAGAAGTAGCTGTTTTGGAGGTTACTTTATTGCTTTATTGCTATCGGTAGGAAAGTACAGTTCCACCACCCCAGGAACAGGTGACACATGAAGCGTCCAGATGTGGACAGGAAGAACATTATCACGTGATTGACTATAGACGGAGTTTGGGTTGGTAATCCTATTTATTGGACACTTCAGCACACAACTCGTGACTACACTTTACAAATCACTCTTACGCAGAGAGCATTGGTTTCACTCACAGGCTTCAATGCGCTGCCTAGTAGCGGCTTCCAATAGTGAATGATCCTCTGCTCCCGGGCCCACGTCCTCGCAGGCTGGCGGCCATCTCACACCAACCTCCTGCTCTTCTAACTGCCGTCTCAAGTCAGTCTCGTAATCAGAGTCGAACTATTTTACGACTGGCAGTATACCGCCAGTAAGTTCGTCTTGGCTCCAAGCCCTGTGAGGATCATAACTACAGACGTTTTTTATTCCCAACTGAACCCTTGCGGTCATAGTCCTTATGTGGTGTCCTCTCTGACGAGAGGATGGGTCTGTTTCTTATGAATATGCTTGGCCTTTCGTCAAGTGCACTTCTTCAATGCAGGTCTGTGTTCAGAGACTGCACCTCCTCCTCTGAAACATTGAGAAGAACCACTCGCCTGCACGGCGTCCAACGGTTATTCTGTTGTTGCGTGTGTATTCGGTTGCCGTGGAAACAGCAGACCGCCTCTGTGGTGTGGTGCTCAGAGGTCCGGGTTCGATTCCCGGCGCTACCAGATTTTCTTTTAGAAGTGGTGATTGTGGAGCGGGGTCCATTTAGCCTCGTGAGGATAATTGAGAGGCTACTTGAATGGAAAAGTAACGGCACCGGTTTAGAAAACCGAGATCAACGGCTGTGGGAATCCGTTGCGCTGACCACGTGACACCCTCTATCCGCAAAAGTTACCACTAACTTCGCCGACAAGCGGCGGTCGCTCGGTCGGTATAGTTCGCTTGCGGACTAAAATCACGGAGTTCTTTGTTGCCTAGAAACAGCAGTCTCCTCTAGCTCCACTCTCCCGACTTTCAGGCTCCATGTCACAGTGCTCCATCTTTTAGGGCTACTTGTCTCGAACAGGTATTCAAATTTTGTTAGGGTGGACACACAGACAGTAAGGCTGAATAATTTGCTTACCGAGGCGTCGGGTAGCAAAAAAAAATGGGGGGGATACACAGACATGCGAACACACAGACAGCAAGGTGATCTCATAAGCCTCCTTTCTTAAAAAAAAAATAAGAATATTAGGCTAAAAATGTGGTTAGATATTCGAAGGCCTTGTGGCCTAAAAGAAACGAACAGCGTGTTCCATTTGTGAAAAATAATGTAACAGAACGCACGCAACCCATGGGGCTGAGTCCTTGAGAAGCCGCCAGTCGCTCAGCTACTCGAGAATTTCCAGACATTTTATGGAAACCGAAGGTTCATTAACCTGCTCAAAAGAGCCCATCACTGGACCCTATTCTGAGACAGACGAACCCCATCCGCACCCTGCCCCTTGGCAGGTACGGTAATTATTGTGCCATCTACATTTAGATCTCCCACGTGGGCCATTTGCTGTAGCCAATGTTGCCGTCAGCAGGTAATCGCATTGATCCAGCGTCATGAAATGTAGGGAGGAAGTGGAGGCTTGAGTAGTAACTTGAAGCTCTGGCAACCGCATGGCGTCCGTCCCGCTTATATTCGGGCAGTGAGCACGAGACCTTGACCTCCAT